CATCAGCGGAGCAGGTTTACCCGAATGAAAATGACCACTATTACCGAAACCAAAGCGCCAACCACTCAACGCCTAATCACTACGATGATTCCACTGGAACCTTCGATAAAGGATCTCAACCGTCAATGCAGGCGGGTCGACCTGGACGGGGTCCGGGCGTCTTGCCCAAGAACCATCGCAAGTTTGCAGACGCGTATGAGTACGAGCGCGACTTGGCCCACCGCCCCGGTAGCTCTGGCGCAGCCAGAAAAGTGATGGACTTCTTCCGTCGCCGAGCCAAGTCCCGGGCCGGGGATGACCGGTAGAATCGGCGTCTACATTAATCTAATTGTCTAAAGATTTAATTCTCAACCTTTTGATCGACTGATGCATCAGGCGATCTTCTATTGATCGCCAGTCAGTCGCCAAGTTGGTCACCGTGGTAGAGGAACCAAGAACGACGGGCAATTCGAGCTTTCAGGCTTGCTTCTTGCGATCCAGCGGTTGAACGTTATGAAGAAAACGTTGTGACATCCACGCCCACACCCATGGATCTTATCGAAGCTGGCCGAACCGACGGATCGAGACGTATCTCGGTCAAATGCGCTCTATCTTGGAGAGAAAGTTCGAGTGCGACTAGGCTCTTGGATTCCAGCATTGAACCAGCAAGAGCGGTTATTTGGATACCCCGTGATACCCACGCAGCATTCGTCTCTTCTGTTGCTTGCAGCCATCGGTTTTTCTACATATTGTACCAGCCACCGTTTGTTCCCGCATACATATTGTTTTTTCATTTCTTCCCTTTTTTTTCTTTTGGTTGTTTCCTTTGTGCCCCTTATCCCCTTATTTTCCTTTGTTTAAATTTTTCGTTTCTCTTTCCCTGTTATTATAGTCCTGTTTGTAAATTGATTCTTTTCACCGTTCAGCCCTTTCCGATCTGTTTATTCGATTCTCCGTGGCGGCGTGGCTCTGTTGGTGTGCTACGGCTCGTTCTCCATACCTATTTACATTTCCAGACCCTTATTTGGAAGTAATCTAATATTGCCTATTACCTTCTACCGTTCCTCGCCCTTCTACCGTTCCTCGGAGATTGACTCTGTGTACTCTGAATCAGGTTTGCTTTTCGACTTGATTACCAGTCTGTCGAAAATCTGGCTGGTGCACGTTAGCGACGTTCTGTTGATTGTCATCCGGATCATTCTACTGTGTGTGTGTGTGTGTGTGTGTTTGACGAGTTCCCCTATGCATGTATGGGTGAGTGGGTGACTGTGTGCCTAAGGTGAATGTACCCACCATTCAGCCAACGCCATTGACTACTATGAGCTACTGTTGTTGGAGATCGATTTAGATTGGCATAGCAGCCCTACGTGTTGTGCAGTAAGTTGAGGGTAGCTGTAGCTGTATAATGGTCTCGGGTTCCCCTTTACTTCCACAAGCTGTCAAGCTTTGTGGATAGTGGTGACCTGTGGGTGTCATGTCGAGCCATGTCATGTTTTAGGATAAGCTACCAGCCTAGCCAATGTATATGCGCATTCGGTACCGATGGGCTGCTGATGGCTTCCTATTTTTCTCCGCCCTTCTCCATGGAATAAGAAACGTGGTCAATAAATCTGCTTTCTGGCGTGCCTGTGGCTGCGCCAACTTTTTTGCAAGGTGGGTGTACGGTTCACCTATGCCGTAGGGTGTAAGCTTGGAAATAAACATAGTACGTATGTTGGGAGGGGGAAGAAGGGTGGGCCGGGGGGGCCTCTACGCAAACAATATCTATTGTGCTCTTGTTTGTCCTTATTGGCCGTTGGCTGTCAGTGTCAGCTCTGGGTTTATCATCGGTGGCTGGCTGGCTGGGTTGTGGATATACTGGGTAATGTCTGATCCTATTCAGTGCCTCGTTGGAGGTGTTTCTGATTATATGATCAGGTTGGAAGGGTAGGCAGGCAAGCTTTGTTCGATATAGTAACTTTGGCGAGAGTAGGCTGGTGAGATATGTACCTCGCCAAGGGTTGAGCTGATGCTGACAGGCATTTATTCAGCCGGTGTGACTCCGAACCAGATAGTGGTTATCTGCTAAGTACTGCTACTACATGGGTGGTCGGCGGTTCATTGGATATTTGTGGACGGAAGTGACTGGGATCTGCAAAATTCTGGGTGGTCTACTTCATGACTTGCTGGTGTTGTTGCTGTTGATGATGATGATGGTGATGTGCATGGTTGGTACGTGCGAATCAAGTAAGCTTACTTCCTGTTGGGTTTCGACGTCTGGATGATGAACTGCTGGGGCTGTGTGTGTTGGTTGGTTGGTTGGCTGTTGAAGTAGGAGGGGTGGAGGTATGGCTCGGCTGCAAATACTGCACTGCCTGTGCATGGGTCGGTCCCGTCCACGGAGGAGGCTGATGTATTGAGATTCTGGAGATGGTTGGAGCATCTGTACACCACAGATCTAGGGCGATTGATTGGTAAGGGCGGGTGATAAGTAGTTTTTTTTTTTTTTTTTTTTTTTTTTTCTTTCTTCCCGTCTTGAGAATAAGGGGTGATGCCGGGAGACATCTAACAGCCGTACGTACATAGTAATGTTGTTTAGTGAGATGTGGATAACGACCAAAAAACTAAAAAAATAATGACAAGAGTGGGATTCGAACCCACGCCATCAAACGATGATCAGGAAGCTTTTGTAGAAGCTGAATGCTAAGGTGACCTTAACCTGACGCCTTAGACCAACTCGGCCATCTTGCCTTGAGATGATAAATACAGCATTTTGATGTAATGACTCCCAAAGCCCGATAATAAGCCAAATCGTCATAACCAAAGTCAAAGAATCGATCGATCGAAATAGCTAGACAAATCATTCACATTGACAGTTGGTATATCTACTCGGTGCTTTCAATTAGATACTTGGCACCTCTCTGTTCTCTTCCCTAGCCCCTGTGTTTTCATTGATTCTCACCCACAACCACATCATTCCTGACCGCGGCAGGCCCGGTATGTATAAGATTCTGGCAAGCTACTCCGTAGAATCCAACAATCCGCATTTGCTACTGACCTCACTGGGAGCCACACGTGTTTCCTACACACATGTGCACTTGAGAAATGTCTCTCAACTACCGGGCCCCAAATTTGAGCTAAGCCCGCTGACACCCCGCTGACAACCCGGGACGGGAGAAAGGATTGGCGAAGCAACCCAGTATTTATTACACTTTAAATAAATAGCCCAATCATCTTATGGTTATGCTTAATTTGGCAAAGCCGCGTCAGTGCTTCAACAATCTGGGCAAGATGGCCGAGTTGGTCCAAGGCGTCAGGTTAAGGTCACCTTAGCATTCAGCTTCTACAAAAGCTTCCTGATCATCGTTTGATGGCGTGGGTTCGAATCCCACTCTTGTCATTGTTTTTTTGCTCCCGTCGATACCGGGCCGACCGAGCCAGCAGTCCCGAATCTGATATTGGGGTGTGGAATCCGGAGTACCGATTGCTCGATCACCATTGTCCATGACGTTGAGCAATGAAAGAGGCATCCAACGCTATAATACTGGATAGCTACTGTCATCCTTCCTGATCCCGCGAAGGTAGCGCCTTGCCGATCGCGCCGATCACCTCATCAATCCTTCGTTAATCCACCTGGAATTTTTCCTCAATCGGGTTCCAGGTGAGCCGGCTGCCCAGCTTTTTGTCGGAGGTCTGGCACGCTCTTATCGATAAGTTCGGGGCACGATATTGTAAATGCTGACGCTGTTTCTATGTACAGTACTGTTTTTGAATCGGGTGCTGATCCGTCCTCAGCTCCTTCCGTCCGTCCGATAAGTCTTCCCATGCGAGAGGTATGACCGAAGGTGATGCTGATGACAATTCCGATGCTGCTCAATGCCCACGCATATCCGACGCACTCGGACCTTTCTCTCCCGAGACCCTATGGAGGAGGAAGGGTTGAGTCATGAGCGATGGTTCTTGGGCATTCTCCAATACCTGTCTGACACGGATAGCCAATGCGACAGAAGGGTGCAGGCGTGGTTGGTGGAGAAACTCTCTTTGCCTGTCTCTTGTCTGCTCATCCGTCTGGATGTTTCCTTTCTTCTTCGTTCTTTTACTGTACCCGCGGTCCGTTCACACCGAAAACCGTCGCCGATTGGGATTTCGGTGCCTCTGCCTTATCGGCAGTTAGGCTCAAGGTTCTACCCAGCTACCATCAGCTACTAGTTAGCTAGCTTTCCCATTTGCATTAGATGCAGGCGTGGAGGGTAGCCTTTGCTGCCCCCCCCCCCCGGCTGCAGCCGCGTCGAACCGAGAAGGCTTGTGCAGCTGATGGTGGGGTTGGAAGCGAAGTGGCTGTAGGATACGGGGGTCATGGATGCTGGCCGGGCATTGCAATTGGGTTTTGGATGGGTGGATGGATGGATAGATGCAAGCTGGATGTGAGCTGGATGTGTGGTGGGGTGATGCAGTTCGTACTCCCCTCCATTTATTTTTCTTTCCTGGTTCACCTGGTCGAGATGAGTGAAGTCTAAGTACTCCGTAAAGAGGGAATGTTCACGGAGTAGACACATCTCATCTCCGCACTCATCTCATGACCTTACGCTCCAGACTGTCCAAAGGGTACGGTTGAGATGGTGACGCCGTGGCCGGATTTGGAACTAGATCGGAGATTCAAAGCCTAGAGTCTAGAATTTTGGACAGCAATAAGAGCAAGCCACCAATGTCCTATTCATCTGCTGCTTAAGTTACAATCCAACCACGTCAAGAGACACATGCGTCTTATCGATGCATCCCCCCCCCCCGGGGCCCCTTTCATCCGAGCTCTACTCATTGACCATCCGACTTATCTATTGCCATCTTGCCTTGGCTATGAAACATCTACTGCAGTTCTGTATTTCCTATCGCACTGCCGTTGTCCTTGGCATCCATCTTGGATAGACAGTACTTGCTTGGCAGGTATTTGTTTTTTTCGGTCCTTTTGAGATCAACCCCCCCCTTCTTTTTTACTTCCCTTAAATCCTAGTAAACACGGTCGAGCAGGAATTAGATGTAAATATGATATCATTGGTGTGTATTTGATCTTCCAAAACAAAGTAGTGACGGACATAAATCGATTGACCCGAAAACACCGACAATAAAGAAAGAGGAAAAAAGTAAGTACTGTAGCATGATGGCGAGGCCGTCCTTTCACCCCACCCTTCTCCCTCCCATCAAATAAGGAACCTCTGGGTTACATCCTTGTCAGAGGCGGCGATTCGTGTCCAGCGCGACTCGTTTGATATGATGAAGGGGCTAAAGCACACGTAACCGAGCCCGCACTTTCTCAAGCGAGAGGGGCACTGTTGGAGCCATCGTGTCCTAGATAGAGGAAGCCACTGGGAAGGCGGGTGATGCCCGGACGACGCGACGAGTCGTTGCTGGTCGTGGAGGACTGGCTGCTGGAGCGCTCACGAGGGTGTTGGGCCGTTGTAGCCGTGAGGGGGCCGTTGTGAATAGGAGCCAGAACGAGGAAGCGGGAGGAGGTAGTCTCCGTGTACATGTTGATGATGGATGATGGATGATGATGAGATTGGGGGCGTAAGGTGTTTCGATTTGAGGATGAATGGTGGTAGAGCTTTTGTGATAACGATACTAGACTATTTATCCAGAGACGATGTCTTGAAAGGGAGACAAAGCTAAGTAGAGACACCGAGAGACAGTAGATATTGAGTAGAGAGGAGAGAGTTCTGAAGTTTAGGAAAAAGCTTCTTCAGACTGGGTTTTGTGAGACCTTTTTATAGTATAGATGGGAAGGCGTGAAGGAGGGGGAGCTCGGAGCAAACATGTCGATCAAGCAGCAGATTTCCGACTAGCCCACCTGCCTGCATGATTGCAGCCTTTGGGCGCGATAACGACATTCCCACTCCTATCCGAGGGGGAGCCGGGGGCACGGTGGGTATGTGGGTGATGGTGGTGGTGGTGGTGGTGGTGGCAGACCATAGCTGATTCGTAATCCATCATGTTTGAAGAGAGAGCTTCACATGTGCCGACGATGCCAGTGGAGAGAGGGTGTGGTGTGGAGGTGTGGAGTTGTGGAATAGAATTAACCCATGGAGGGGCAGAAGAACGTCATCTCCATCTTTTCTCCCCTCCCCCTTCCTTGCCAATTCACTAGGGCCAAAGTTAAGACCCGTAAAGTCGAACACGCTGTCTCTGCCGAGAGTTCTGGTTGGACAAGCCGCGAGGATCGATGGAGATTATGGGCGTACACGAAGGGGGAAATGTTTCGCAAAAGGACAGCTCAGGGATCTCAGCCTCGGATGATCAGCAACCAAGACTGTAGATAGTGGACAGCCAAGACACTATCGAGGGTCCCGTGACAACATTCTGGTGACAAGAGGAGATTAGTAGATCAGTGGTTCGCAAGCCAAGAAGATAAAAAAATGACGATACTGACTGAGTAGGTGAGTAGGCGAAGGCAGGCGAAGATGTGGTCTTGCCCCCTTTGGGATTCTTTCAGACCACATGATCGACCCCTGCGTTGCTTCTGCTTCAGTCTTCTTCTTCTTCTTCTTCTTCTTCCAGTTCGCCTCGCCACCTTCTAGAAGCACTCGCTCACTCACACACGCACACATTACCTCTCCATTCATTCTCCGTCCACTCCACATTCTCCCATCGCCTCATCGATCGGGCTAGCATTCGGCAAGATAAGCGAGCTGTGATCCCGAGCACTATTTCCCATCCCTTGCCGGCAGTCGAAGGTTCCGCGGAGTTTCCCAAACCAGTTCGAAGAATGGAGGCCAAGCCATCATGTTGTCTTAGTTCTCCATTGAGACACTGCAACATTCCGTGGCCAGTCTTTTAGCCAGAGACACGATGGACAGATAGTAGTTCGATTGACCCCCCCACCCCTTTCAAAACATTGGAGGAGCAACCCTGGGAATTGAAATAGGACCAGCACCGCCCAGCTGCAGGGGCGCAGATGTGACGAAATCCAAAGGAATTGGCAGGCGGCTCAAGTAACAACCCCAACAGTCACGTGCTCCGAACCACCTGCGAGAATTGCGGCGATTGGGAGTAAGCTGAAGAGATGCAGCATCATATTTCAGAGAAAAATCAGTCAATTTCTCAGTCTGCCTTTCCAGTACGAACGTTCCTGAGGTCGGGAGCCAACGGCGGCTAGAGGAGGCCGTGCCCTCCACCCAAGGCCCATCGGCCGTCCCCGTTTTAGCGCCCCAAGGTCCTACGCCGTATCGCCTGAAGTGGCGCGGACCCTTGGCGGTTGAAAGCACAATAAGACATGCAGAGAATTCCCCTCAGAGCTGCTACTCTGCTCCTTGAGCTTCCAACGTACCTGCGACTGCTGTGCCGGCGCACACAAATGTCAGGTCTCAGCTCCAAGTATCAATTGTCTGGCCTAGCTGCTGGCTGTGGTGACAACACAAAATTGATAGGTGGAGGGTGTGTGGCACTGCTCAAATCCCCGGGTGCGCATTGATCGATCGACTGGCTTTGAATCACACCAACATCACGATTCAGACGGAGCTATGAAATGGATACGCTCAACGTAGACTCAAACCGCTCGTCGGCTCCTGTGCTAACCTACCATCGGCAGGCAGGTGGGAGAATCTTAATGATATTCCTCGCACACAGGAGAGGAAACAAGAAGTGAAAGAAAACGGTGAAATGCCCAGAGTCTCGCTTAGCCATTGATATCACCAACCGCGTCAAGGTCCTGGGTGTCATACATTGGTCGACTGGAAAGCAAGGGCCTTCAGTTCCCTGTGACGACAGAGTGGCTCATGCAGATTCATCGCATTAGCTTCCGCTACTTGTCCGCAGGATTCTCCGATATGCCTCGTGGATCTGTTAGATATTCGTGGTCTGAACGTGGGTCAGAAAGCGTGCCCAGGAACTGCGCCAACCCTTGACAGGAGCAGGTGGCTCATCGATCAACTATTACCACGCAGCCTTCCGGCCGAGCACCGTCCAAGTGCCCACCAAGACCGGCAGGTGGGGGATTACTGAACCTTGATATCGGTGCGATCATATTGGCTTGCTTCAATATGTCATCCTTGCTTCCCCTCTCCCCATCTCCCCCAGTTACCCAGGCCTTCCGAACACATGATAGACAGTGACCTGTGTTGTTGAACGCACTCTGTGGATGACAGGCTCCCCAGCCTGCAGCATGACGTGCGTCAGATGCTCCGTTTCGAGCTCTGCCCGAGTTGCGGCATGACCCCATACATATACAGAACTGTTGGACCGTTCACGCAAGCTGATTTGATCGTTGGTCTGGTTGGCCTTCCATCTGCATATGTGACCGACCTTCCCTGCTGCAGGAGTATCGTAATTGTGAAGATGATGTCAATATCCCTCGATGCAGCTGCGGAAGTTTAATATTCCCTACGACAAGGGTTTTCCAATAATTTCCGGCTTCATGCATGACCTTTGTTAGTCACATCCGTTCATTTCCTTCACTGGGAAAGATGCCACCCAGGCTGACCCAGGTGGCTGTTACCTCAAGAATAATCTGCATAACCGCCAATAATCGAGGGTATGGTAGTGGTGGTGTAGTCACTGGCAGAATCCAGAGAGTATCAATTGCAGGCCGGCTCTACGAGTGGATTGCGGATGTGATGTAGACCGAATCGCCAACTGTTTACGGCACAGACTCTCATCTGATCCAGAAAGAGCGTCACTCAATGACAAAGTGAGACCATGAAAGACACAATACACGAAAAGGGAAATCGAGCAAGACAGAGAAGAAGAAGTGAGAAGAAGGGAAAAAAGTAAAGGAACATGCATGCGTAGTTTAGTTACCCGTTCCTTGCTAACTAAACTTCTTCTTACTTCTTTTCTACCACACTTCTAGCGTCTCGACTTGTTTCTTTTTCTTATTTCTTATTTCTTTCATTGTTTTCAATTTTAATTTCCCCCTCTCGCATGATCAACTGAGAGTGTCATTGGAAATATTATTATTATTATTATATTGTTATTTTTATTTTTATTATTATTATTATTTCAGTTTTGATTTCTTTTGAAAGTTCGCAGCTTGAGTCAGTTGCTGGGCCATCTTGATCAGTTGGCGTAGAAAGGCTTGTTGCGGCACAGTCGACCGCAGTCATTCTTTATCACTTGGAGATTTTGGAAGTCTGCGTCCATCAGACCGCGAGATTCTTTATTTAAGGCCCTTCACAACCCGGCCAGATATTCAATTTCATCGGCAACATCAGCTTTCCTCTCAGCGACCCAAATCAGCACTTCCTCTGAGCTCTCAAGCCTCCTTCTCCACTCAATCTCGAAACCCATTTGAGCCCTCTGCCACTATCACAAGTCAATCTAGCTTGCTGTTCGTGCATTGCATCTTCTCCGCACACCATCTGCGTCTATTCCCATACCCAAACCACCATCCCCAACTCTCAATCAGTCAAGATGTGCTCCCAGTATTACCTCAAGTTCGACTGCGGCTGCACCGTTGCGGAGGGCGATGTGGTCTTCTGCGCAAAGCGAGGCACCTCGTGCACCGGAGTGCGAACGCAGATCCGGCGACGGGAGGGCTACAACTGCCCTGAGCATGGTGGCCCTTAGACCCGGACCCCGATTGTGAGTACTACCACTACCGAAGATCCACCTGCGCAAGATCCAAGATTACCGGATCCAGCCGTAGATACACAGAGCATACTTTGCAACTAACTGCATGGGTGGCGCAGGCAGACGCTGAGGGAAGCTTAAGGGAGGGAGCCTGGCCTGAGCTAGGTACCGGTTTTCTTGTCATCATCCTGCAGAATGACAAAAGTATTGGGGGCAAGAAGGAAAACAATTGCACACCCTGAGGACCGTCAACAACTCTCCATCTAAGCTCGAGCCACTCATGAAGAAGGCGGATGAGACAGAGATCTCTCCATCGAATCTCTTCCATTGGCGCAACCAAACACCGACATAAAAGCAGAGAAAACCCTCAAAAAAAGTTGAAAATCCACCAGAAAAAGCACACCAAGAAAACTCAGCCTCGACTCACGAGAAGATAGAAAGGGCGATTCAAAAAGGCGGAAATGGGGTGGTATAGCTGACCAGGTTTTTTGTTCTTTTGTTCTAATGTTCTTTTTCGCAGTTTGGGAGGTCATCGTTGTTTCGCTCATAATGCATTCGTCATCATTCTCATCGTGGCATATATATACACTGTTGACATTTTCTTACTTTGCTTTTTCCCCTGCCGTTTGCTTCTATGTTTTCTTGGCTGTCGCGTACCTCTTGTCGATCCATTGGGGGTGGGGAGTTAACTCAACCCCTCTCCTTGTTTTTTGATCTTGGATCTCATTTCTGTTTACACAATCTCGGAGGCACTCTTAGTTTGATCGCACACTGTTTTCATGAGCATATTTTCTTCTTCTCATTGTTGTTGTTGGCATTCTTGCACTTTCATTTCTGGCCTTAGAAAGAGGAACCACCATTATTTGCTTTGCCGCTCAGTCAGCTCTTCGCTTTAAAGCTTTGCATTGCAATTCACACTCCCCCCCAACATATTTCTATTCTGGTTTCAGATTTCGTCTTTCATAGCTTCCTCTGTCGTTGAAAATTTTAGCTAGTCGCTTACGGCTGAAGCCACGTCTTGTCAGACGACAAGCACAAGCACAAGCATCAGCATCAGCATAAATGATACACTCTTTTGATTCATAAACTGTTACTGTTTTGAGGAAATCATTTCCGGGATCCTCCCTACAAACCAACCTCGTTGCCTTCTGGATCCTCACTCCCCGAGGGAAATTGGAGAGAGAGGGAGAGAGACAAACGAACCATCGGATCGAGCTCGGATCTCGGATCTCGTATTGCCTAACCCACTCAGCTACTTGTCAATCACTTCATTTCCGTAGAACTTAGACCAAAGGGCGCAAGTTTCGTGATTATCATGATTTTCCCTTTGACGATTCTGAAAGGCATTGTGGTCACTGTGGCAAGTTGTTTCTCCATGCCTCCCTTTCCTTTATGCAACGAGGGGAAGAGAGGGGAGGAAAAGGAAAAGAGAAGGATGTGTGATGAAATAGCCGTGGTGCATTCCCATGGATAGCGGGCTGTCCCAACGCTGTGGGTAAATCCACTCTTGCTCAGGGTGTCTCCTTTGTTCGTCTGGTCTCAACCGTGGTTCGACCGGCAGTCACACACGTTCGGTGTTGGCCGGGTATTGGAGCCGCACTGGACAGGTGGAGTCTGACCCAAGCAAGTACTAGGTATGCAGTATGGATATCTTGTGGATATGATCACGAAATCACCCCTGTGACTATTTAATACTATAGTTAAGTAGCTTGCTTGCTTGCTTGGTGGAGGGGAGATTGACACGCCAGGTCATCGGATCATTTAAATTATCATTCGGTCTAACACGCGAGATGGAATAGAGGGTTTCCCGCAGCTACGTGTCCCAATCCTAAGGCTGGGAGCTTGGAAGCTTACAGCTAGCGGTGCTGCTGTTGAACATTCCAATGCACTATCTATTCTATTGTCGACGTGACACGTTAACAACTCCTGGTACTGATGTTCCTGTGATTTGACGGCGGGTTGTTGTAGAAGCCCTTCATACATGGAAAAGTAGGGATCGGCCGTGGCATTATTCTTGGGTAACGTGTGTGCGGATGTATGCAGGCTCATCATGGTCGGTCGTCCGTTCCCCCTGCGGACCCCCAAAGCCAAAGCCTTGACGTTGGAGTGCAAGGGTCCGTCGAGAGAGCTGCATTAGCACCGCATACGCCACTAATCACCTGATGGCGCTACCGGCAAATCACAGAAAGAAACTGGGGCACAGACCCAGGTGATGACTTTGATACCAAGTACCTTAGGTGTTGCCGACTGTAAACCTTGCAGGCAGCGGCGAAGCAAGAGGAATAAGGGGTGCCAGCAGTCTCGCGGAACTGTCCGTGGCACCTACCACGCGCAGGCAGGCGGGCAATCACCGCGCCTAGAAGTAATGACAAATAGAGAAGGGAGTGGACAATAGGAGTCTGGGTCTGGTATGCGCTAGGTTAGGACCGACTGTCTGCGCGCTGCCCAACGATCGACCTTGGCGTCATAAAGGCAATGGTATCTTCTCTGAACTCAACTTCTCGGAGACATGATTCAAAGGGTGCTGCTTCATATCTGCGACTTGGCTGGCAGGCCCCTCACTCACTGTGCTGGGTACAATAACGAGCCTCCCGATGGAGAAATGCAGCGTTACGTGGCGGCCTTGTGGGCGCTCAAATTGCGGCGTCTTGGTAGGCCATCATCTCGGAAAATAATGCGGAGAGATTCCGGCACAGAGATGGGCGCCACGAGGGAGAAATCAACCGGCTGTTGATCCCTGTTTGAGTCTCAGGACGAATAACCCTTGCGATTAAATCTAAGCTGTGGATAGGCATGCTTGTCTTTTCACTTGTGCCGCACCACTGCACAGTGCACCATCCTGGTCGTCCGTACCTCATACTGGGCATTCAAGAAGCTCTAAAAAGAGCCAATAGTAGGCATGATCGAGATGCGCCATTGTTGGGTCCGAGTTTGCTTAGGGTGGTGGGGAGATGTGATGGAGTCCGACCTTGTGGCCTCAGGGCGGCCGTGTCGCCAGAGCCGGACCATGGTAGCAATCCTGGTCCACCAGGATGTGCCAGCCAATGCGCACTGCTTGGGTAATGACCAGAACAGCGCCGCAGGACCAGTACTTCGGCCTAGGAGAAGGGAGAACCAGATTGCTGGGACAGTAAACCCAAAGCGGTGTGCCCACCGTCTGTGCCGGCTAACTTAGGGGTCATGACCTCTGCTGGTAGGAGTGTAGTTTGAGGGTCTCTTCCTCAACGTGGCATAGTCAAATAGACCCAGTAGCAGGGTGATGCCGAGAGTCTCTAGAATGAGGCATTGTTGAAATTTTATCGGAAGTATAGGATAACTTAGTTGTCGTTGATGATGTTGATGGAAGGCGGTCGGTCACATTGCCCTCAGAGCACGTGACAGCCACAGGATCGCCGAGAAACTGCCGAACGAGTTCCCTCCCGATCATCGATCGGCTTGACTCTTCCGACTTACTCGTACTGAGTACGTACTCCGTACTAGTCGCCGCACTTCCACCACCTCATCTCATCAGCTTAGTCCGCCCTTGCGTCGTACCTGCTCTGCATCTCTTTCCTTGTATAGAGACCGCTTTCCGCACATGTGATGTCCATTGAAGTTGACTGGGGCACAGCGACCTCGGGTCCGGACGGCGAGGCTCTGGCTGAGCGCATTCGCTCCTTCATCCATGACAAGTTCCAGCAGGTAGCTCTTCCGCGATTTATCCGATCCGTTCAGGTCCATTCGTTTGATTTCGGAACCATCCCACCGGAGCTCGAGATCAAAGACTTCTGTGAACCCTTCGCCGATTTCTATGAAGAGGATGAAGACGATGAAGCTTCCGACGTGTCTGAGGAGCTTGTCTCCGGACATGGCACTCAGTGGCATCGCACCGGCTCAGAGCTCAGCGAGCCGCCGTTCCGAGATGAAAACGTTATGCATCAACCGCTTCGCAATCCATTCGATGAGCGGTTTCAGCCATCCGCTCTGCGTTCCCCGATAGCTCTCGGTGACCATCTCAACCCGCACTTCCTTCCTCGCGCCGGCACTCCTGGTATTCCCGGAGGAACCTCAACACTGGGCTACCACCTGATGTCTTTGGGTGGCCTATCAGGAACACAGACGCCTCTGGCTGCGGTTGCCGGCGGAAACCCATTCGCTAACAGCTGGAATGATCCGAGCAGCATGGGCGCACGGGGCAGAGGGCCCCTGTCATCCTCACCCTTTGATGCAGTGCATTCGCAACATCCCGAAGCCGACCTAGACAGCAGCAATCCAGCCTCACGCCCATCGACATCAAGCACGCTCCCCTCGCACCCGGGTGGTTCTAACAACGGCGGTGGAGAAGCAGGAGCAGCAGCAGGTAGTAGCAGTCACATGGCACGCACACAGGAGAACGGGCATCTTGGCGACTCCGCATCGGCGGAACCTCTTCGGCTGCCTCGATTGCGAGAACGCCGGCCCGAAGATTTGCAGGTTCTGTGCCATGTCAAATATGGAGGGGACGTGCGCCTGTCGCTGACTGCGGAGATCCTTCTGGACTATCCTATGCCTAGTTTCGTGGGCTTGCCCCTGAAATTGAATGTCACTGGCATAACCTTCGATGGCGTCGCGGTAATCGCACACATCCGCAAGCGGGTGCATTTTTGTTTCCTATCCCCCGAGGATGCCGACGCGTTGATCGGATCCGATCAGCAAGATGCCGCAGGAGGGCAGGAAGACAAACCACGGGCTGAGCAAACCAAACGTCATGGAGGATTACTGGAGGAAATCCGGGTGGAAAGTGAAATTGGCCGCAAGGAGGATGGAAAGCAGGTCCTGAAGAACGTTGGCAAGGTCGAGCGGTTTGTTCTGGCGCAAGTGCGACGAATCTTCGAGGAGGAGTTTGTCTATCCGAGTTTCTGGACTTTCTTAGTATGAATGAGCTCAGATGCTCCCAGTTTTCACACGAAATCACACAACAGCAATGAGTGGTTTGAGATGTCGCTCTGCTGTTTACCGAGCTGGGTCTCGGCACACGCAGAGGGCAAGGCAGATGCAACATTAGCGATAGCTCGTGAAAAGGAACTCCCACAGAAGAAAAGCAATGAATAGGCTCTTACTGTCCTCCGATTGCTTGTCTGGTTGTTTTCAGCCACGACGCGTTTGATTTTCTCTTTTGCGTGTTGGGATCTTAGTGAGTATATTAGAGAAAGTGCACTGCGGCAGCGATGTGCAACTCCAACACCTCAGGCTTCGATTTCCCCTGAGAACATTGGTTGCTCTACAGCGGAAGTTTCCAGTGATTGACGTGAGAAACATCCCGTTATGGTGTGTCCTCGTCTGATACAAATGGATCATATACCCCATAGATTAGGCATTTCACCTTGCGCGAACGTGGCAACGATTACCTATCCCCACTTGATAGGTAAGTAACATAATACTAGAGAGAAAGATCCGTAGTGGTATGAGAGAAAGAAATATTCTTGGGCCTGGTCTGCTGACAACCTGATCTTCACTGAGATTTGGGGGCGAAATCGCAAGGAAGGACCACATATCTAGGGCAGTTGCAGAACCTTGAAGGAACAGAGGATGGTCAATGCAGGCCAAGCGCTACTTTCCCATCTAAATCAACCATTGTTATTGAACTCGTTCTCGTATAGTACTAGGTAGCACGTAGGACACGCGCTACCGCCAATAATTCGAGTTTGATCCTTTCTGAGATTTTACGCGTGGAAAAACTGATTCCAGAGAAAACAACCTTCAAATCCTCCTCAACCTCATTATAATTATCACAACACAGTCATATGCCCACTACACACATGGGGAACTCGTTTGCTTCGACACACGATGCTCACGACTGACCACTTAGCCAGGAACAATGATGATAGACCTTCGAAAAAGATAAAATGCCACTTCGCCCAGCCTTCACAGTTTGAATCTCCTTAATGTCGAAATCGAAGAAAAAGGAATCAGGCTAGGCTTCCCCCAGAGATGCAAAGGATGAGTATCAAGACGTCTCGCAGAGCAAAGCGCTTCCTAACTGCTTGTGTTCCCCGTCCTGCCCCTCATCTATCCCCACCTATCTTCCATCTCCCTGATTTTGACCTCCAATCTTCCGCAAATTTGCAACACACTCAACGGCAAGAAAGCATTGAGACGGGTGCACGTTGCGATTGCGCCTTGTCCTTCGCTTACAGATCCTTCTTGGGAGCGACATCCTTGTTGCCAGCGGAGACCTGGTCACCCAGCTTATGGTACTCAGCCGTGAGGCCCTCGCACTGCTTCTTCAGAGTCTCGATGTCACGATCCTTAGCCTCGAGCTCCTGCTTGAGACGGCCGATTTCGCCGACATCGCCGGCCTGCGCGAGCCGAGCGGAATCCTTGCCACCAGCGCGCTTGTCACCCTCCAGAAGCTTGACTCGGTCCTCCAGGCGAAGGACCTCAAGGATCATGGTGTAGGTGCGGTTGAGGATGAGAGACAGGAAGAGAGTGAAGCCGCACAGGTACATGTTGCGCTGCGAGTAGAACTTGCGGGCCTGGACTTCCATACGGTCTGTGCCAAGGGCGGCGGCTCTGGTTAAATAAGGATATTAGCTCGTCTGTTGTGAACTGACGAAGAGGCTTGAGCCTGATACATACCCCATAGGACCGCCCTCCTTGAAGGAAGCTAACTCTAACTGCACCCGATAGACGCGGTTGACGCTGTCAATGAAGAGGATGAGGATGAAGATGAATGTGATCTAAGTTTAGTCTTAGTTAAATCGCTCGCTACTGAGCGTGGTGTAAGGGCCAGGGCACACTTACCTTCAGCCCATATTGTAATTTGGCCACTATAGGACTTTCTGAGATAAAGGCAAAGAGCTTCCTCTTAACGGTGAATGGAAGAGGAATGATGAGGCCCATGAAGACCGCCATCTCGAACACCAAGAGGCAGAAGACCTATATACATCCAGTAAGCATTCGTCGTGGAAAAGCCGGTCTTGAGGTCTGGGAGGAGCGCCGCGCGCCGATGGCCAAGGGGCGGCAGGCTGCAGCATTATCCCGAGCTCATAGCATGTCCACGGGGAGTACGATCTGGGCAACAACACTTACAAGACTATAGTAGAGAGTCATTTTGTATAGGTTGATGAAACAGTTGCGCTGCTACTGATTGTGGTTAGATGTTGTGCCTGACGCTTCGTTCAAGCTTGATTGAGGGATGAAGGTGCGATAGGTAGCAAGGCAGGATAAACAAATGCTGTCGGAGCGACTTGATAGCGTAGAATCAAAGACAAAAAATTCCACAGATAGCCGGGATAAAGACCCCTGATATAATCACCAATTGACCGATGCTTGTGAAGAAGAGGAAGATTGTCTGTTCTGTGTACGGGGGATGAGGTGGTCTTTTTGCAGTTTCTGGTGAGGGACAGACGTCATCACCGCCCGGAGCTGAGACCCCGCACGTGACCAGCCCCGTTTGCTGGATAGGGCCGGTCCAAGTGCGTCATAGCTGGCCTAAAATACCCCCAAGTTTACCCTTAAGGTTTGAAACCGGCTAAGTCTGGATATGCCAGTGGTAGTATGTACAAGGTGTTCACATTTGTTCAAGCTTGGTCTAGGCGCAGCGCTACATGAAATCTAACCCTCCGCTTCGTCATATGAATTGGACTTGTGCTTGGGCTCGAACTTGAAGTCCTTGTGTGCAGGACCGAGGAACATTTCCCTATAGTGATAGGTTAGAATCATTTTAAGGTTACCACGAACCTGACAGCCAGCAATTGATGTACTTACGTGATCTTGATCCAATCCTTGTAGTTGTTACTCGCCATCAAGGTCTCCATGTCATCTCTGCCCCGGAAAGCCGGAGGTCTGTCGTTGATCTGGGGTGGGAGATATTCGAGCAGACCGAGAGGCACGTATCGCCGGGCAAAGCTCAGCCATTCCAGCAAGAAGCGTCTAGTCGTGCCAACACCATGCTCATCGGATCCCCAGGTCTCGAGACCATACTTGGCGAACTTCTCGATGTATGTAAGACGCTCGCTTGAGGACTTGTCAAGGTATTGGCCAGCCTGGATCTCCTCATAGAGCCAAGGCTTGATTAGAGCCCCGCGGCCAATCATGACAGTGTCGACGCCCGCATTGTTAATATGCTCATCGTAGTCAATGTGAGAGTAGCAGTCACCATTGCCGAGGAACCAGACTTTCCCACCGTTGGGTTGCGTGCGAGCATCGGGCTCCCGGATGGTGTCGGCAAGTTCGTCCTGCTTCTCATTCAGTCGCTTGATAAGAGCGGCGCATTCGGAGATATACTCCCAATTGGCCGATTTGGTGTACCGCTGCTGTCGGCTCCGCCCGTGAAGAGTGATAGCGGCCGCTCCCGCACCGCCGCCGCCAAACAGATGAGACTCGTAGCCTCCAAGCAGAAGGCGTTCGGTCAACTTCAAAGCATTGGGAGAGTTGTCTTTGGTACCCATACGAATTTTGACGGTGACGGGAATTTCGCCGGAAACGGTGTTCATGCCACGAATGATCTTCTCGAGCTTGGACGGATGCTCGAGAAGAGCAGAGCCCGCACCTTCACGGAAGACAAGGTCGATAGGGCAGCCGCAGTTCAGATCAATGAGACGTAGGTGAGGGGTCATTTGCGACAGGGCCTCTGTGGCCTTGAAAGCTTGCCAGGGCTTGTTAGCCGCAATCTGAGCGCCAAACTTCATATCCTTCGAGTTGTCGTAGTCCTGCACGATTTCCGGCCCAGGAAAAACCGTCGGGGGAGCAATTTCCGACTCGTGCGCCTTCATCAAAGCCCACTCTGACTTCTGCCCTTGGATCAATGGCAGGCTCATGGCCATCTCCGAATAAGTGAGCTGCGCGCCAAGCTCCACACAGAGTCTGCGGAAGGGCATGTTACCCTGTGTCGTCAAGGGAGCCAAGGCCGGGGTCTCGGGACCAAAATAGAGCCTGCGCTTCTCGGACGGAAGCAGAGGAGGCTCAACGTAGGCGGCGCGGTTGTCCTCCTGCTCTTCCTTGGTCCCATCCTCCACCTCGGTGGTCCCAACCCGATCGCGCTTGTGGAGATCCTTCTCGATGGCCCTGTTTGTCTTTTCCAACCAATTCGAATACGCCTCTGCCTTGGGGAGATGCTTCTTCTTCCGGGCCAGCGCAAGCTTATCGTCCATGGCGGCGATGTTCAACACGCCTTCTTCCGAAGCCTGGGGCACCAGCCGCTGCACCTTGTTCTTGCGGTCTTCATCTTCGATCAGAACCAGCTCTTTTCTCCCGTCCTCAGTCTCCCGCTCCCGAGAGTGCGAGCCCACGAACCGACACTTCCAGCCGGAGAAGCACTTTCCATGAGTATCCCATACCGGACAAACGCCGTTCATGGTGTTCAGATCCTCCCGCTTATGCTCTTTGAGGTAGATGCGCAGGTCGTGCTCGAATCGACATTTCTCGCCGAAGCTGCACTCGGCGGGAGAGAACTCGGGCTGGAACATGCGGCTCGGGCAGAGACCCTTTGCATCCTCTGACCGGCCAAAGGTCCGGTTAGTGTTCTGACCGGTCTTCTTCTTGTTCTTCTTCTGCTGGTACTGGTGGGCCTTCATTTCGGTGTTGTTGTTGCTGTTGCGGCCATCGTGGTGGGCGGCCTCGGCGGCATCGTCCTGATTCTCTTGCTCGGCGGCGGGCTGGCTCTTGTCGGATCGCGGCAAAAGGTACCTGGATATGAAGGTCAGTGACCGTTGGGTGAATCGGCTGGAAAGTAAATTGCGGCGGGTCGCATACTCAGCCTTGATCGGAGCGACACCCTTGAGCCGCGGGTCGGCCTCAGCAGCTGCAGGTGCAGGTGCATTGGTACTCGGCGCATCGTCTAGCTTGACCTTCTTAGAGGGAGGCTCCTGAGTGGTGTCGGCAGCATCGTGCGAGTGCACTTGCTCCTGAATAGACGCTGGGTCCATGATGGTTGG